ATAGGTTATACAAGAGACGTGGTCCATGAGACAAGGGCCTGACCATGAGACTTACCCAGAGGCTTTAGCCTCGAATTAGGCCCTTGGACGCAGAGGAGAGGCAATAACGCCTGGGGTAGAACAGATGAGGTGGCAAAGGTCGAGTGAAATATGTGAACCAGAGAGAGGGCAGACTGATCTTACGGGGCAAGAGAAAGACTGTTGTAAGACCTAAGGAAGGAGGACTGCGTAACAATATGGCAGAGTCTGATGAACATTCCCAGAACAAGGATTTTAAAAAATTTATTATTCTCAAATTTTGTATAAAAGATCTAATCCGACATGCAGTCATGCAATTTGGATAAATATCCACATAATAAAAGCGCAACAAAATTACATACTTTTATTAGGACTCACTATAAACTTGGGTAAAACTAGGCTGACATGATTAAGTTGTAAACAATAACATAGGTTAGATTATAGTGTTGTATTAGGAGAGAAAGAATCGCGTTAACTAACAGGAATTTGGAGATCAAAACTAGATAAGATAATTAGAAAGTATGCTAAGAGGATACGGAGACAAGTAGACCAGTAAAACATAATCTCCTCAACACAGAGGATAAATATTGCTTTTCGAAATAGTTAAAACTCCATTAAAGAATTCTGTCGATTGACTCTGAGAAGAGCTTAGAAGAAATTTTTAATTGCACAATGCTCTCTTAATTGGTAGCTATATTGGAGTATCATAAAAGATAAGGACAGTTAACGCAATCAAAACTAAAAGTAGGCAACATGAGCGAATAGTTTTAAGAGCAGACACAGTGGGAGCAGTTTCAGCTGGCAATATGGAAAATGATATTTTGAAAATGTTGAGGGCCATGGCAGATTTTGAAACCAATAGATTATAACTAAAGGCCCTAAGAAACTCCGCATACTTGAATGTATCTGAAAAGCGGAATACCCTACCGAATAAAGTCTCTGAATATGTATAGTCTGCTGAAGAGGTTCAATGGGTCATATGACGGACGAAAAGTCAGCAAGGATTCATAAGTGGCAGGCCAGTGCGCCGGAGACCTATTCGCACAAATTTCAATCACAGCTCCAAGCCAATCCTCTTACAGCTTCTAGCGAGGTCAATTTATGAATCCTTTCCACTCGCCTCTTCAAACGAAATGAAAGGTTCTCGGACAAAAATTTAAGTGATCCATCGAATAAATATTATTTCAGTGTCGTAAAAGTGCTTTCTCATCGTACGTATCTCAGCAAACAGAAAGTGGAAATTCAAAATTGTAAGACTCCGAAACATGTAAGAATAGATTTAAGAAAGAGGTGATAGGGACCGAATACAAGAATTACGTATGAAATAAGCTTGAAGATAAGAACATTAATGTAAAAATGGTCGTTGGTTTAGTAAAAATGGTGGAAAATCTGGAGTGTCGAAAATTAAAAGCAATCAGAACTCAATTTGC